GTACAGAGATGACTTCAGAATTAGAAAAGTTTTCAGAAACAGGAAGTAACTTAGTGGTAAAAATCAGTTTCAGAAGAGTATCAAGCAACAGACAATCAATTGGTCATAAGAGTCATTCAGACCACTTAACAAACAGAACTCCACATGGGGTAAAGGGATTGTGGCACATAAGAATCACATTAGAGTGCAGGGATAGGAAAAGGAGAAACATATAGTCACAAACTGCATGCAACACTTTGGATCTTAAAGACTTAGTAAATAGTCAGGACATAGATAACAGTTGGCCTATCTTGAATAGGATTAAACATATAGTTTAGGCATGCCAAGTGAAGAAGTAAATAGGAAGGAGTGCAGAGTGTAAAACATGCATTGAACATGACAAAGTTTTAGACATGCGGAGCAAAGAAATAAACAAGAATACAAGTTGAAATCACAATTGATGAACTAGTGCAGGGATAAAACACATAGGGTTTGGTTCTCAAAACTCAATTAGAAACATACCAGTTAAGGAGAGCAGACACAAAGTATAGAGCAGTGTAGTGCAATAACTAGCCTTGGCTTACAGCCGGCTAGTTCAATGGAAGTAGCCAGTGACAGAAAAAAGCAGAAAGCTTTAAGTATAAGAGAGAGTTTTTGAACTAGTGTTCGTTGTGTCCAGAACTTAAAGTGAGAGAGGGGTTTATATAGAAATCAAAAGCTTGACAAATAAGGTAAGAGATCAATTAAGTAGTAAATCAGGGAAGTCACACGTAAATCAGCAAGATCTTCCCTTAATCAAGGGACAGTTCAATCAACAGTAAAATATACTAAGTATTTAAGGAAAAGAATAACGTAAAGTTTAGCATAGAGTAGGTAATTAGGGGTAAATGCACAACAGTTTAATTGAGGAAACAAATCAATAATAATCATCGGAATACAAACAAGGCAAGGAAAAACAATTAAGGCAGGCAAATTCAATCAAATTGAGTAAAGGGGTAAGAATCAAACGCTAAATGGAAAGGGTTCAAATTAAACCAGAAAATAAGGGATTCAGAGTAATCAAGGGTTCAGAAAGTCATGAAAGAGGCAGCATGCTTAGCATATAAAAATGAAGTAGAGCATGAGTAGTCAGGAATCGATACATAATTTTAACAACATTTATTCAAGGAGAAGTATACAAGTCTTGCATGAATGGTCAGTGTGAACACAAGTGCATAATATCAGTGAAAGGTCGAACTAGGAAAATTCAGTAGAAGCATATTAGGACAAGAAAATCACGAGAAGTCACAAGAACCCAAGACAAGAACACAATTAGATGTACCAATATCCAGAAACCAAACGAAGAAACCCAAAAATTAGGGTTTTCAGTACAAACGGGCTAGGGTTGTAGCAGGTTCATAAAATTAATCAAAATGTATGAGAAGCAGAAGTTTAAACACAAAGAATCATCAAACAAATTTTAAAAAGAAATTCCGGAAACCCTAATTTTAGAAAAAGATGAAATCACTTGAAATCATACGATTATTATAAAGAAACTCAAGGCTATTGTAAAACTCATAGGAAACAAACTCAAATCACCTTAGATCTATACAGATCTAGGAGGTTTTAGAAAAGAAATTAGGGTGTCGAAGAGAACCATACAGAGATGAAGAAACCTGTTTAGAAAACCATAGATCGTAGCTAATATAGGACGATCTCGCTCAAAATCACACCGGAATGGCCTGGAACAGGCGAGAGATGAACCCTAGATGCAAGTCGACATAGCCCTGGTCCCTTGAGGGCCTTAGAGATGGCAAAAATGACATGAGAGAGGCCATTGGAGGCCTGAGAGGTGGTGAGAGGTCGCCGGAGATAGCCATAGATGGGGGTCAGTGAGATTGGGGATTAGGGTTAGGGTGAGAGCGTTTGAGAGCAGAGAGGATTTTAGGGCGGCGGTGTAAGGTGGGAAATGGTTAGGGTTTGGGGGGGGGGGTATAGGTTAGTTTATTTTAGGTAATGGGAGATCTGGACCGTTGATCAAAATGATCAAAGGCCAGGATCTAACAAGAGCCGGGTCGAGTAGATTTGTTAGGGTCAGACGGGTATTGGGCTTGGGTAATCTAATCAAAATTGGGTTGGGTATTGGGGCTGAAATTCAAATGCAATTAGGCCATATTTTAAATAGCCATTTTAAACACTATATAATTTATAAAAATAATAAATGATTTCAAAAATCTAATTTCGTGTACTAAAATGGTTTAAAATAGTTATTTAACATTTTAAAAATATAAATTATCATTTTATGCATCAACAACGTAATTATGCATTAATAGGACTAGTACTGCAAATATATGCAAATTAGCTTAAAAATGCAAATGCAATTATAAAAAAAATTCACTAAAAATATTTAAACAATATTTTGGCATAAATAAAGAAATTAGATGGCTAAATTACCACAAAAATAATTTGAAGGATGATTATTGGAAATTTTATGAGTAAAAAAGGAAGAAATAAATCAATTTGAAGCCTTTAAAATTATAGAAAAAAAATTTGTAAAAAATTGCTTAGGCATGCTTATATATGCTATTTTGAAATTATATGTATGTATAAAAAATATTTAGGGAAAAATTGGGTATCAACAAGTCCCTGTTTGCGGCCTAGATAGGCCGTCGCCGTGATAGGGAGGCGGTATGATGGCGGCTTTAACATATGGTTGATGTCTTTCACGGTTGGGTCACGGGCCTGCATGGTCTCTTCTGTTGTTGTTTCTCCGGTCTTTCCTGGATTCCATTTGCATTGAGGTCAACCGTTGAGTTGGCCCGTTGAGGTCGTCTTTGGTAGCTCGTACTTCGGTGCAGTAGGCATTGTATATCTCGTCCCAAGAAGTCGGGGGATATTTCATGAGTCGGCTCAACAATTTTCTGGTCACCTCGAACCGCTCCTATTTAACCCATTTTGAAAAGCTGCTACTGTCGTTCCTTCTGATACATTTGGTAAGGTCATCCTCACACGGTTGAATCGAGCGATGAAGTCTCTCAGCCCTTCATCGGGTGACTGTTTAATGTCAAATTTGTCATTTACTCTCGCCTCTGCTTTCTTAGCTCCGGCATGGGCATTTACAAACTTGTCAGCCATTTCCTCGAACATCTCTATGGAGCGTGCATGGAGTTGTGAATACCAAGTCAGCGCTCCCCCGGTGAGGGTTTCACCGAACTTTTTCAGCAATATATAAGACACTTGTTTTTTGGTGAGGTCGTTGCCTTTTACTGCGGTGACGTAGTGAGTCACATGATCCTCAGGGTCTGTCGTACTTTCGTATATTTTCAGGTACGACGTCATTTTGAAGGTTTTAGGTATGGCGTGTGGTGCAACTTCGTCACTATATGGCTGCTCAACAAACTGGCCGACATCCCTTTTTGGTAAGAGTTTTGGGGCGCCTTGTATTTTGTCTACCCTTTCTTGGTGCTCTTTCATTTGGTCTCGGAGCATTTTGTTTTCGTTCTCCATGTCCTCCATCTTCCTCAAAATAGCTGTGAGGGTGTCGTCACCTGCATTATTAACGTTGTGAGTAATACCTGTTATAGGAGAAGGGCCGAGCTGCTCGTCTGTCACTGGTACGATGCAAACTCTCGCATTCTCTCTGTTCGTCCTTTGGGCGGGTTTGTCGAGGGTGCTGGTTAGCGTGCTTGTCAGCCACGTTTTGAGCAGCTTTTTCACCGCTGGTGGTGCCTCTTCCGTTGTGGACGTAGAGGCCCCTTTACCATGTGAGGTTGTGATGCTTCCATGAGGGAGGGGTGGACCACTCCGCTTGGGGGAGGCGTTTGGCGTCATGTCCTCAGCATCTGCTTCAGTGGCCTCATTGATGGTATTTAGGAGGTTGGTAGTAAGATCGGCTACTGCCTTCATCCTTTCTTCTCCATTACCTGCCATGTCAAACTATGCACGCAAGAAAAGACGAGGTTTTGCGTTGTTGTTGTTGTTGTTTTTTCAGATCTAAAACGAACTAGGACTTTGACTAGGAAATCCCCACAGACGGCGTCAAATTGTTTGACCAAAAAAGGATAATCTTTGGTTAAACTAATTAATCAGTTACTAAAGGGGGTTAATCTTAGTTAAAGCTAATAATTACAGATCTTAGGTTAACGGTGTAGATAAAGTGGACAGTGGCGAGACAGATTTAATGTGCCAATATTAAATGCGTCGAATACAATAATATGTTAGAAATATCGGATATTAAATAAGTGGCATTAAATATAAATAAGGAGGAAGATTCACCCAATATTGAATAAGATGGATGATTCCTTCCTCTGACAGCGATGATGACAAGAATATAAGAGAATATAGAATACTTTCTCAGATCTGGTGGAAATGACAAGAGATAATCCAAAAAGGTCGAATCTATTTAGAAAATTGCTTTGTATTTATCTAGAGAGCTTCCTTTTCAAAACAGTTCTTATCATATGGAATATTACATGCCTTTTGCCTTATCTCTCATTCTATTTATATGGAATATCTCCAAAGAACCCTAAAAGTACAAACAGAGAGAATAGTCAATAGAATATTCCCTCCGAAGATCCCAATACAAAACTAGCTGTTACTTCTATCCACGCAGCTCGACCTCGGCCGTGATTGACCGCTTGGCTGCCCGTTCCATTGATCACTGGTCGATCTCGGTCAAACTGCCCATGATTTGCAAATCACTCATGATAATCATCTCTGCATGCCAAATTTCCTCAATTTGATTTTGACCCACACAACTGTAAAAAAATGTTATAATTGTCATTTCATAGAACTTAAACTCAGACTCTTGTTTCACATTCCTACATATAAAATATCATTGAAGAAGTCTTATTTTTTCTCAATAAAAATATTTTGTGGGAGGGGTATAGGATCGTTCAACATCCCAAAGGCCAAATGACTGGAATGCACGAGGAAGTTATAATTGACTTCAAAATAGATGGCAAATCTACACTTTTTCTTGAGGCATAGAAGTACATGAATTGACTTTGTTTCAGAGCCCAATGCACTTTCTACTGTATGTCTAATAAGGAGTTTTGCTTTATCATTGTAGACTTAAATATGTCAAGTCATTCTACAAAGAAACAGTTACATTTATTATGATCATTCTTGTATATATATTCTTCCAGAAATAGGGGGTTGCGTGTGGAAATTAAACTTTGTATCATTTACAAACACAAAAATCTCAGAGATTTTAAAAGAGATGAAAAAACACTATCAGCATTCCTTGAGTTATCTTCCCACTTTCGTGATTCTTTTAATACAATCAGATGCACTTTGATGCAGGGCTGTTTATCCTTGATTTCTGAAAAAGGCAATAATCTGGTTATAGACGATATCCTTAGCAGTGATCCCAATGATGAAGTCTGCATGAGCGAAATCCTTGATATACTGAACATGCAGCTTGTCTACGTCGTGGAACTTAAGATAATCAAGTAATGTCTCAACATCCTGAACATCGGACAGTGCATCTTGGCCTCCATAGCTGAGAAAGAGGGGTAGATCATGAGGGATGTTGGTCAAATTATACTTGGGAGGTTTGGTTTCACCGTAGTGCGCCTGATTGAAGTCGTTGCTCCCATAGTCATATTTCGACAAGACACCATCTCTAACAGCTGCATGAATTTCAAATAGTTACAAGCAGTAGGAAGTTTGATGCTCCGCAGTATCATTAGTTATCGTAGAGTGTAGGTACTATTAATCATATTATAGTTGAATATTGGAGCCAATCCTAATTACTAGTTTAGAACTAAAGCGTAGTTGATTGCCTGACTGATATATAGCACTTAAGAAATGAACTTACTCTGAGACAAATGCACAAGGTTCTTAGTTGATGTAGACTGGGGCTCGTTCTTCAAGAAATGCTCGACTGTGGTGGCATTTACACAGCAATTCTTCCCTATATTTATAGGGGGAAGTTATTTAGATTTGCACTAGTGATCATTACAAATGACTCTATCAGTATAAAAAAACTATGGCAGAATAGTACCAGTAAGTGCAGTTATCAAGTCATAACAGTCCACCCCAGCTTGAGCACATAAGGCCTTAAGAAAATTGGATACAGGCTCACTGCCACACAGCGTCAACAATTCAGGTAAATGGGAAACAAATGGGAGAAAAAAAGGAAGATCAAGAAGAGCAAAGAACACTAGTTGTAGAAGGGTGAAGTAATTTTACCCCCTTGGATTAAATTCTGCAAGACCAAATATTGTAGTGATCTGTTGACATTGGAAACCATAAAGATCATCAAAACATCTAAATGTGTGAATTCCTCTTAAGCTTTGCAATATGTAAAGATAAAAGAAATAAATTTTAAAAAGTTTGCACTGACCTCGCTAACAAAGGCTCTAGCAGCAACTACACCGAGGGCAGTGGTCATATGGCTCAAATAAGCAACTGGGCTGAGCAAGGCTGCTGATTTTACCTTTTCTAGGTTTCTTCCTTCTGAGAAGGATGCCAAAGCTATCAAAGTTCCCTGTCAATTAAAAAAATAGCCAGATCAGAGTTATTACACCATATAAAACGCTCAAACTAATGTTGTGTCATCTTCTGAACTTACCATTGAATGGCCAATATAGTGAATCTTCTGCCCAGTTTGTTGGACAACAAGATCAATGACGGTAGGTAAATCATGGACGACAAGATCATCCCATGTCCAATTCCAGTAGTCCTGTAAACCAGAATGAAAAAACCTTAGGGTGTGTTTGGTTGAGGTATTGGAACAATTAATCCCTTCATAACATTCTGCATATAATACGATGTTATTTGGTTGGCTGCATAAGAAAAAAACAATCACCGCATGGCTAATATAGTATCTGGTTGCCGATAACAGATACTATCAATATTAAGTTGTGGAGACTTATGTAGTACTATTATTTTATGAGAAGCATAATGTGGAATAAAAGTACGTGCATTAGTAATGTGGCGATTAAACTATGTAAGGACAACATATTCTTTTTAAAGTAAGTAATTCATGTATGACAATCCTTTCACTACCGCATAAATAATTCATGCATTATAATTCCGGCATAACTAGTAACTTAACCAGACAACCCCTTTTTTTCTTTGTTTTGTTCTCTCATTCTTTTTTATCAGTTTTGCAAGCACTAAAAGATGTGTAGTTCATTGAGGATGAATCGAAGGAGATACCGGGCTGTTAGGATCAAGAGTTACATGGCGACAGCTGTATCTGGTTCCCCTGATGTTGGAAATCCAAACATCGAAGCCATTATCTGCCAAGATCATCGCCGGTGATTGTTCTGGTGAATTCTGCAGCCATGTTACTCCATCCTGAAAAACAATGACCAAATTTTGCTTCCTTCATACGGTTGCAGTGTATTAAAATTGAAATATTCTTCAACTTATTGTAGATTGTACTTCTTCCTCCTTAATTGCTTGACATATTTTGATTGAAGAACTAGAAAGAAAGAATTTTGACACATAAACTAAATAGTAGCATAAAGTAATAAAAGCACCCTCCCATCAACAATTTGCATCGAATTCGGTTGGGGTAAAATGAAAAGGTAAAATTGGAATTGTTTCTAATTATATGAAAATGTCGAGTTAATTTTATCCATGGTCATTGAACTTTTAGGTTTGTTACTCAAAAGTAACTTTTCTTTTTTTTTGTTACGTAAAAATCATTTAACTTTGTGTTCATTACACAAAAGTCACTTTTCTTTCTTTTGTTACACAAAAATCATTTTACTTTGCTCTAGTTATCACAAAAATCACATTTTAATTGAAAAGTCTATTATGCCTTGACATTATATAAACCTTCATTTTTGTGTAATACCTTCTATATTATATACTATATAATATATTTTTACCTATGTATTTTATTTATAATTAAAATAACTTAATATTATTTTATTTATTATTTTTATAATATATTCATATATTTAATTTTTTCTTAACATTAATTTTCAAGATATATTAGTAGTGTTATTAAATTTGTTAGTAACTTTAATATATATATTAGTAGAGAAATAAATCGGCAAGTACATTTCCATGAGAAAATTCGTAGGTAAACAAACAAAGAAAATGAGGAAAAAATCATATGTTAATCTGAAGGAAAATCCCTAGGTAACTCTACATACGAATTTAGCTGGGGATATATTCTTGGGGATTTACCTGGGCAATCGGTTATTTGAGAAATTACACTACTAGAAATTCGAGAAAACCCGTCCAAAAAAACCGACCAAAGTTGGTCGGTAATGGCCAATAACCGTCCAAAACGCGACCATTAACGTGTGGTCGGTATTTTGAAGGCGGTCAATTAAATTCAAAAAAAGAATTGCTGAAAAAAGTTGTTTTATAACGCTACTAATGTATTTTGAAAATTAATGTTAAGAAAAAATTAAATATTCGAATATATTATAAAAATAATAAATAAAATAATATTAAGTTATTTATTTATAAATAAAATACATAGGTAAAAATATATTATATAGTAGTATATAATATAGAAGGTATTATATAAATATGAAGGGTTATATAATATCAAGGGCATAATAGCCTTTCAAGTAAAAATGTGACTTCTGTGATAACTAGAGCAAAGTCAAATGATTTTTGGGTAACAAAAGAAAGAAAAGTAACTTTTGTGTAATGAACACAAAGTTAAATGATTTTTACGTAACAAAAAAAAATTGACTTTTAGGTAACAAATACAAAAGTTCAATGACCATGGATAAAATTAACTCGAAAATGTCCATATTGTATCAAACAAATTTAAATGGAAGAATATTACTTTGTTTAGCAGTGATAAGCTTTGCCTCATCAATGTGAGGTTAAAATTGATAACAGCTTCAAAGAGTATCCAGTTGTACGAATTCACAAGCATATGGTTCCGTCGATTATTTTATAAATTTTATACCATACCAATTTTTTGGTTATTCTATTATGTATAATCAATATTAGACTTTTCGAAACCGTCTCAATCATATCGGTTTTTCTTCGGTATCGGTACAGTTCGGTAAATTTTCAGTATTTTTTTAAATGTCATATAAAAATCATTACCAGAAGTAGAATGCAATAACATACGTACTTTTATAGAGCTTAGCAAAACTCTCTAGATATTTTTATGAATTAAGAAAATATGAAAGATAGCTAGAGTATAGATCCATCAACTACTCTACAACAGCGTAAAAGAAACTAAACAAATAAATATAAAGAAAATATAAAGCACTCGAGTGGAAAGGTACTAACGAAGCTGGGACTGAGACTCAAGAATAAAGTCTATAGAAGATTAAATATTCAAAAAGATAAATCTAAATCATACGAAATAAAACGTAATCAATACATTGTAGTTTGCTACTCATAATCGCTACAATACCTTGTATCTTGCTAGTGAATATGCTGGAAATGATTTAGTTTTAATGAGAGTAGCATAATAGATTTGGGGATTATGATTTTGAGTTTATTACTTTTTGACTTGTAATTGTTTTCATAATTCTAAGACCAAAGGAAAATTTATTGTTTTATTATTTTTAAACTTAATATATAAATATATTTTTCACATCTAAATTTATTCGATACGGTTCGTATTTTTTTCGGTTTATTTTCATAAAATAAAAAGCCTATCCTAATTATCGATATGGTTATAGATTTATATAAAAACTTACGGTTTTATTAAAAGAAACCTAAAAATTGATTCGGTACGGTATAGTTCGATCGATTTAGTCAGTTTTCAAATATCCATTGAAACCCGTGGTAATGGGCACTCTGCATATAACAAAGCGGAGAAACAAACAAATCTGCGTTTGGCAAGTTACCTTCTCGTGAGTACTAGCCTACAATACTAGCCCAGCCAACATGTGAGTCTGCGGTTGACAAAAATCTGCGGTATTTATGCACATGATTGGGTCCGACATAAAATCAGGAATCTTGCCTTTTCTACATGAATTTTAATGCAATTTGAAGAGGGTGGGAAATATTGTATAATGCAATTTAATGCTCTATGTTTGATAATTTTGTCCCCTCTATCACTATTATAATATACACGTCATTTTAAACTTTGTACAAAATCAAACACACAACATAAAATGGGATTGATGGAATATTAAATTGCTAACACAATTCCACAAATAAAAGCTCAAAAAAATCACAATTAAGAAAATAACTTGAGATAAGAAACTTATACTACAAATTGAGATATATACATTAAAATTAAAGTAAGAAGCTGAACTCTCTGACATGCTTCCGTTCAACTCGAAGCTAAAACTTTTACGCTCTCTCGTTTTATTATTCTGATTGATGAAAATATGAAGGTAGGATCGAAATTTTCGAATATTGTGTAAATTATCGAGTAAGTACACTGAATACATTGTGTAAGCTTAATCACGCAAGTCTTATTAAAATGCCCACTTTGCCAAAAGATTCGCGCATATGTCTATGTGTAACAAAGATGAAGATACTGGGGACAAGGTCCACCCCTAACATGTCCTTGTATATTTTGGAGTAATTGATGTTTAGGCAACCATAATCTGTATTGTCTGTTTCCTTGCAAATTTAGCTTTCCTTATCTCATACCCCACATGTCTTATTTTTTAATCAAATAAACCAAATATTTAATAATAAAAATATATGCACTAGATAATTTCGTTATTATTTTATCCCCATATTATACCTTTGTTTGCGAACCAAACGCCCTAAGAGAACTATGAAAAAAACCCCACTTAAGCCATTGTGAAGCATTAATTAATAATTTAAAAAAAAATCAATTTTTCTAGCTAGAGGACTAACCAGTCTGGCAATTTTGAAATTAACCTCGATGTTTTATGATTAATACTGATCCTTCGCTTATCTTCTAGTAACTTGGATCCGGTAGACTGCAAAATACGTATTAGAGGCTAAGCAAGTCTCGCTCTCGTCATTTTTGTTACTATTAGAAAATAGAAAATGACAAGGGTAGCTGAATTATATTATAGAGTCACGGGTGTAACAGTAGTGAAATAGTACTAGAGGTAGCGCCATTGTAAGGTGCTTACCACAAGAACTCCGTGCTGCAACAACACTGGCGGCCGGTTCGCCCCACCACCACCACCACCTCCACGCCCTTCGGGAATCCTTTGCACGCTAAGTATGTAGCCGTCATCAGTTGTTACCTGAGATATGCGAAAAAAGAAAACACATTAGTACATTTTATAGAAATCCACTCGTTTAATTGGCCAAGAGTTGGAGAACAATTGAATTATTGAACACTTGATTACCTCAAATTCCTGGCACTTATAACCATGAACAATGACGGCAGAGGCGCACAAGCCAGCGCTATTATCATCGGTGATCAAGCCGAAAGGATTTCCCCTGCTAGAGCCAAATGCTCGATATGGTTCCACTAATATGACGAATGCCACTAAGATTAAAATACCTAGACTCGGCGAGTTTTGGGGCGCCATTCTTATATAAACTTAATTGGACGTTTAATTAGCTGAGCCGGTCGTGGAGAAGGGTGATGTATGCAGTATATATATATATATATATAGGGAGAGATGGACAGAACAGGGAGCGCTGTACAAAAACAAAGAAGGAAAATGGAGACACAGAGTCACAGTCTCTTGGATTTGTGGAATAAAGAGGTGGAAACATAGTTTGGTCTTTTTCTGCTGGAATTTGTTACTCCCTCCCAAAAGAAGACAAAAATGAGGAGTTCAGAATAATTTGATGTACACCAAACCTTCAGTTTTAAAATTCACCTAGTAATTGGAACTACCCTTTATATAAGCTACCATCTTTATAGCAAAAAAAAGCTTTTAATTTCATAGTTAAAAATACATGTTTAGCTCTTTAAGTAATAATGGTGCCATTCTTTTTGGTACTTAGAGAAAAGTACAGTATTTAATTTTTGTCCTTCGAAAGGGAAGGGATTGAGGAGAAGCAGGAACTATTTATATGATTGATCAACTGGATTAGTAATGACTTTCTTAAATACATAATCAGATTAATGATTTCAGAATCCACTCTCATCAACATGATGAACAGATGAGATCTTTGTACTGCATTTTTTCTCTTTGTTGAGAACAGCGGCAGTTTATTAGCTTAATACACCAATTAAGCATGAAATAACATAAGAGGAAACAGAAATCGTATAGTAGTACAATCACAGTATCTTGTTTCCATGATTTTTCCTCTTTTGTCATTTGGGACTTCGATATATCGCCCTGCGGAAGAAACATAAGCTATATCTGTTTCTTTTCTATCCATTCTGAAGGAAGGTAATACAAGTTCATGTGAAGCCTAGGTGTGTTTTACAGCATCACCTACTTCTACATTCTAAAATTCAAAGAATCGACGAATTTACACTTTTATACAAAGGAAAAGAAAGCGAGGACAAGAAGTTTGTACATGAATGAGGCTGAGGGTTGCATTCATTTTGTGCTCCCACAAACATAGTGAAGTCAGCTAACTCAACTCCCACTCGAGACAGCAGCACGAGGAGCTCATGCCATGAGCAAAAATTACTGATGAGATGCGGTTGAATTTCTTGAATACCTCATGACTATGAAGTTGCATCAGATCTTTGATCTGCATCGGCTGTAGCCTGGACTTGAGCTGCATACTGCAGGTTCCAGAGGACATCCTCAAATGAGGGGCGGCTCAGTGACTCAGGAGCTATGCATTTGTTGGTGATGGATATTACAATTGACAAAGACTCCTGCGAGCTAGTGATTAGCACAGCTGGATCTACAATTCTGCGCCGACCATCTTGGCTACCAAAGGATGCCTGTCATCCAAAAAGAACATTCTGACTGCTTACCTTGCAACTCAAAGTAGGTCACGTACTACAAACTTTTGACATGCTGGAACCAGTGAAAGTTTAAATCTTGTCGCAAACATAATCTTGTGTCAACTACAGAGTGAATTATGAGTATTAAGTGAATTTTGGGATCTGTTATTTTAAATTTACAGCAACCAGAGTCTTGAACAGGAACAACGTTTGTAAGTTGCTCCATATTGCAAGAGATGGAAAGAAGGTTTGTGATTCACAATATATGCTACTATCAATGAGAAAGGAGTTGCATATCAAAATTAGCAGTCGCGTACCATTTCATTAAGCAAAAAAGTTTCTCCTTTTCCACTAACTATAGGACCCACCAGCGACTCCAGTAATATGAAACCAAAGTTATACACATCATCTTCTTTCTTAGTCATGTGCCTGCATAAGAAAAAAATGCAGGAAAATTGAATCTTACCAACAGCTATAGTTGAGAATAAATGTCTCTGCTTGACATGATTGAACTGTCATTGAGAAGCATTTCCATCTATCCTCTAAGGGATGCCATAGTCAGAAGAGGCAATAAAGGAAAATATATATCACAGTTGTACTAGGAATACAAGTAGCGAACAGACTACTCTGCAATTCTATTTGAGGAAAGAGTTGCATACCAGGAGTTGTAGCCATCTCCTTTTGCCTGAAAAAGGAAATCATCAGTATCAGATATTACACTGTCGCCATAAAACATATAACCTTGATCATCTGAATATCATTTTAACATACCTCAACTTTTTCACTTTCTTCCATAAGGATTGACATTCCATAATCACTAAGTTTTGCAATCTGATGCTCGTCAAGCAGTATATTGTTTGTCTTCAAGCTATTTCCATATGAAGGAGGAATTACGCCAGTGTGGAGAAAGTGAACAGACTTGGCAACACCAATCAGAATTGCCAACCTGTCTGACCACTTGAGGACCTTTCCTGGAGTAGTTTCTGCAAGTAACCATGATGATTTACACAAGCTCAACATGTATTCCCTATAGTTCATTGGACATATCAGGATAGATAAAAATGAAGAACAACAAAAATAAAATTAGGCGCCAAAGCATTTTGCAGTGCAAGTGTCAGCCCACAAACCATACAAAGAACGTATGATCATGTATATCTCCATAATATTTTTGAACAGGTAAGTAATACGTGTATATCTCCACAAATTAACGAAATGCTAACATAAATTGCTTTTATCCATATAGATACTTGAAATGCTAATGATTGTTTCATCAAACTACACTAATTGCTTTTCACTTCATTGTAAAATTTCAGATCTCAAGCTTGGATAAACAGAGGGAAAGAAACTACCCAGACGATCCTGAAAAACAAAAATACTTTTTATTCAACTAGCATAATGTGCCACCTCCTACTAAATGGAGCTTTGAGGCAGTGTCTTGAACAGCTGGTATTTGGCTTAAAGAGTCAAATCAACAATCATTAATCGCTCTTAGTTGAAGTAAATGTAGACTGTAGAGTGACGCGAACATGAATATCAATAACTGCAACAGTTGTGTTAATTTTCATGTATTGGATTTCAACAAGTACTTCATCAAGTTACTTTCTCCTTGCTATTGACTACTTATCTAAAAGTACTCCTCATTTTCTAGTTAAGTTGGAAAGCAGAAGCATGATTCATGAACAAACTTTCTGAATTATCAAACATGAGCGCTCCAAGATGAACTCATGCACAAAACAGAATCACCAGACTCGCAGTTCTCTTTCTTTGACCCCTCTACTTATGGTACTTGATGATTTCTGGTGAGAAAATTATTGGTGCCACATCTTTATAAAATACTATAATGCTGTATTTATTCTCACCGGCAAAAAAATACAAAAGAAAGCAATGAATTCACGTGTTTCTCCTCCTACAAAAACTACCAGCAATATGCCTGTACCTTTTGATATTCAATCAAGTATATCTCTATATATCTATGCAAATGTTCGTACTGAAACATTTATACCACTGACCTGAAAGACGAGCACGCAAATTTCCACAAGGAATAAATTCATAAACCAGAAAAAGTCTGTGGACAGTTGAGTCATCTTGCGCTCCACCATCAATGCAGTGACCCAGAAGGCTTACTAAATGTGGGTGGTGAAACTTTGATAGCAAATCCATTCGAAGTTTGAGGTTCCAACTAGTGCATCTTCTATAAACATTCAATTCTCTTACAGTAACATGGGTTCCATTCTCTAATTTTCCCTTGTAAATCTGAGATGGAGAGAAATGTTAAAGACACTAAACAAAATTGTCCACTTTTAAGCCCCAAAAAGAAATAGCTTGGAACAACAAAAAAAGGGCTTGAAGAGGCATCGACTAACTGCACATGCACTTTACGTAAGCAATGCAAGGGCGTCCTCATTAATATTAACTGTCATTAAGTTCAGTGTGTGCCGAATCAAAATGTGCATTACTCTTTACTTGACCACCATTCGATGGTATTAAATTGCAGAGTCAAGATGCATATATAAAGAATACAACATTTATGCACATAGAAAATCGATCATAAAGAGAAAAAAAACTGTTTAATCCACTGCTTGGTGACTTGTACATCCATTTCAGTGTCTGATACGAGTTAGTATGCATCATATGGATGAGAACTTATTTTAGCAAAAATATATATTTTCCGGAAAAAGATACTATGACTATTGAAAGGGTATATGCAAGGAAACAATATCCTATGCCCTAGTTTGGAAGCATAAATAGTTTCAGAGAAGTACTTTTCCAATGGAGCCTTCACCGAGTAATGCTGATTTATTAAAGTTTTCTGTAGCTTCTTCCAACTCTTCCATGGAGAACACCCGATATGATGGGGCACCTTGTGATCCTAGTGCTGCCGCTTGAGAAATGATTCCTGAGGTAAAATAAGCTAAAAGAAAATCTGCCTTTTTAGAGTTGAAGTTAAAAATGAAGTCAAACTACAACTTACTAGCATTTGCCAGGAGCTCAGCAGAAATATTAGGTTGCGCATTATCATGCACAGCTTTGGGAAACACGTACTGATCCACATTGTGATGCGCTTGCTGTCTTCTACAGAAGATGAGAAGTACAGCTGCCAAAAGCACCACAAATATTACAGTTCCCCCTACAACACCTACCAATATTGCTATCTCTTTTCCTGTGTTGTGTTTCTTTGCCAAATTTGCTTCTTTGCAATAAGACTCCGAGTGCTGATATTGAGTATCAACAGACAAGCAATTTCCACTAACCTTAACAATTCGATTATCTGAACTGGCGTTCAAGCAAGAAGGAACCACACCAACAAGTCTATTATCAGAAATATCAACAAAACCAAGTTCACCCCCACAATTGAGATTTTCAGGAAGCGAACCGCTCAGAACATTAAATGCTAAATTCAAGTAACTAATACTTGGCAAAGAGAACAAATCAGCAGGAGGCCTTCCAGTAAGAGCATTATTCGACAAATCTAGGTGTTGAAGCTGATTTAATTCGCAAAATTCTTCCGGAATCTCACCTGAGAAAGCATTATTGCTTAGCAGAATAGTTGTCAATCCATGTGGCAAGGGTGGCAGTTGAGAATCCAAATGATTTTCTCTTAAATCCAACAAATGCAAATTAGACAGGGCACTTAAATCTGGTAATTCACCAGAAAGTGCATTGTGTGACAGAACAATGTCAGCAAGGCTCGTAATTTTAGTAATTGAAGTAGGAATTTGACCCTTCAACCTGTTATTTTTCATGCTTAAAATAGTAATATTTGGCAACAAATCCAACCAATCAGGGAGAGTATCATTGAAAAAATTGCCATCTAATGTCAAAGTATGAAGCTTCACCAATGTAGACATCTCAAATGGAATTGAACCATAAAGAAAATTAGAACTCATATCCAAAACTTCAAGGGACGATAACCGATGAATTTTAGCAGGGAGGGGTCCCCAAATGCCTAAAGAAACTAAAGTTAGAACCTTTAAACTACTCAACCTCGTCAAAGTGGTAACAAAAGATTCAACGGAGAAATGTTCAGATAAGGTATTGTTTGAGACTGCAACACCATGAAATTCGTTGACTTTAACTAGCTTATCACCCTTGATTTTGAGCTCAGTAACAGAGTTATCCTGACAAATAATGCTCATATTCAGTGTTGAACCCAAATTGCAAAAGTCATCATTGTAATTCTCCAGAACATCTAGCTGCACTGGATATTCTAAGTGCTTCCGCAACTGAAGGAGAATTTCAGTTTCATAGGACCTTAACTGATAAGTATTTTGGATCAAGAAACCCCACATGAATAAAACTGTTAGAAATATCTTCAGCCACCCCATTTAACTGTCTTCTTCAAATGGAACCTAGAAATGCAAATCTTGAAAAATACCCGTTAAGAAAAAAGCAAACAAACAAGCTAAACTGAACATCAAAGGAATGTTTTTCTTTTTCCTGGCAGAGATATATTGGGAGAAGAGAAAAAGATAGAAAAACAAAAAGAATAATAAACCCACTCCGGGGTCAAGCCAAGGGAGAGCTCTATAATGAAGCACTAATAAATGGGTATTTGTACGGCTAAAAAGGTGGAATTAAAAGAAGAAAAGTGTTTATATAATGGAGAGAAATGGAGAAGTAGTTGGAATAAGAGTACCCGACAGAAGAAGGCATTAATTGCAACATGCATTCAATTCAGAAGATGATTGAGTGGTCTATCGCGGGTTTCCTGAGGTCTCTGCCATTAATGGTGAGTGGTGACCGTCCCTCCGGTTCGGTTCTTACTTAAAACGGCTCTTATTACTACTACTAGTATTTTCAGTCTTCCTCACTCCAGTACAGTCTTCAATATTGTTTACTCTATGTGACAGTTTTAAATAGCTAGCAAACGAAGGTTTGTTTGGCCTTAGCTGTTTCAAATAATATATTACTACTAGGGAGTATTATATTATGTTTTGAGGATTTTGTTTAATCATCTTATTCGGACTCAGACTTAGACTAATGCAAATTCGTACCATAAGATCAAATGAGAAAGACAATACAAGAACAATAATTGTCCAGTATAATCTCATAAGTAAGGTCGAGGGAGGATAGTGTATACGCAGAACTTACTCCTGCCTTGTGAAAGTAGAGAGGATATTTTTCGAGAGACAATCCATTCAGAAAAAAACATAGTCACAACATAATTGAAAAGAAATACATCAATGAAGACTTACCTACTAATCTTCTACATTAATTCTCGACTTCCTCACCCTCCTATCAAGGATCATGTTCTCAGTAAACTGCATGTGCTATATTCTGCCTAATGATCTCTCCCAAATATTTTTTTGGCCTACCTCTATCTCTCGTCATGCCTACCACAGCCAACCTCTCGCACCTCCTCGGCATCTGAGCACCTCCTCTTCACATGTCCGAACCATCTCAGTCTTACTTCCCGCATCTTGCTCGCCACCGAGTTCATTCTCACCTTATCCCAAATATCTTTATTCCTAATATTATCTCTCCCAATATGTCCATACATTCATCTCAGCGTCCTCATTTCCACTACTTTCAACTTCTGAGTATGAAAGTTCTTGACTGACCAATACTCCGCCTCATAGAACATGAAAGTAGAGAGGATATTTTTCGAGAGACTATCCATTCAGAAAAAAATATAGTCACAACATAATTGAAAAGAAATACATCAATGAAGAACCGATGAAAAAAATAAAGCAATAACAAGAAGCAGTAACAACATAATAATAATACAACTGAAGCAAAAGAGAAAACAAGTAACACTACTAGAAATTAGGTAATTTCCGTCCACAATTTTCGACCGAAATCGGTCAGAAATTAGGTGATTTCCGTCCACAATTTCCGACTGAAATATAATTTCCAACCAAATTCTGACTGTTTTTAATTAATAGAGATCTACGTATAAGAAAATACGAGAGTAATGATGACAATGCATGTATGAAAAGGAAAGACGTTCTACGACCTACTAATATTCTACCTTAATTCTCGACTTCCTCACCCTCCTATCAAAAGTCATGTTCTTAGTAAACTGCATGTGCTATGTTCTGCCTAATGACCTCTCCCGAATATTTTTTTGGCCGACCTCTATCTCTCCTCATCAGGGGCAGCCCTTTCATAAAGCAAGTAAAATAACTGCTTTAGGCCTCACATTTGTGGGGGCCCCATTTTTTGTTAAACCTAATAGGCTATATATAAGTTTTAAAAAAATTTATGTAAAGTGAAAAGGTTTGATTTCTTTATTTAACAAATATAGAGAAGAAGGATCTTCAACTGATATAATTTCTGACAAGGAAATTGCATTTGAAATGAATATCGAGCTTGAATTTCGTGAGAAACGTGTGATATATAGGAAGAAACAATTTGATGAGAATGTTGATAATGAAATCTCAAAATCTTTTAATTATTTTTTATACATAGTAGACAAGGTTATGTCTTACTTCAAAATAGATTTGAACTATTCGAAACATATGAAAATATTTTTTGTTTTCTATTAGCGGTAAGAAATTGAGATAATAGATGATGGAAATTTGAAAAATATTGCCTTGATCTTGAATGTTCCTTAAAGTATAATAATCAATCTGATATTGATGGTTTAGATTTTTTCCTGAATTAAAAGTGTTAAGGAAAGTAGTACAATTAGGAGATAACAATTTATTTGATATACTTGATAATAGGCAAAATCTAGATGATTTAGCTATTATGTATGCTTTCGCTTGATTATATTCCAAGGTAATATTATGATTAATTGATGAAATATGGGCTCTAATTGTGAATTGTATATATCTCAGGGTAAGAAGCTTATATTATGCTAGAAAATGTGATTTGGAACCATTTTGGAGCAACAAAGATCCCTCGGAGTTTTGTATGGTTGAAGACAAGGCAAAATATCAAGGCCACAGCACAACTGGGCTAGCGTGCCCAAATGCGATACAGCACTAATAAATGCGCGGCCAAGACAGAACCTCAGCAAACTAGCGCGGCCAAATGCGCGGTCAAATGCGCTGCAGCGCTAGTCCAAAATCCGGCGATGGTTCATTAGGGGCAAAAGTGGAAATCTGGAGAAAAAAAATTCACTTAACCTATATAAGGTCAAGCTCGCCCAAGGAAGCTTTTATCAAGGTTTTCATAGGCTAAAGCTAGACAGAGAGAGGCAAGAGGCAAGGAGGAAATTGGATCATCAAGTTTTTCTTTTCTTCTCTTCGTTTTTGCTAATATGATGAAATTGAATATACTTGTGATGAACAATAGTATGAGTGGCTAAAACCCATTGTTCTAGGGTCATGGGTAAAACATGAATATTGTTGTTTGAGGTTTAATTTGACAAAGTTGGTTCATCATATTGGGTTGTTTATTTAATTCTGTTATTAATTATTTTGCTGAGTAGCTAACAGTGAAACACTATCTATGAATCTAGAATTGAACTCGAAAGTGGGAATTCTAGGTTGCATATAGGATTAAATAGAGCAGGTTCTTGAACCCGGGCCTCGGGGAACGGATTTGCAATTGGGATAGACATATACCCACTTGCCTTGCTTGGTTAAAATACAGGAATTGTAAATGCGTTCTTGTTAATCTTAATTCCATAGAAATATAGGCATTGAGTTAACTTGAGCAGGCGAGTAAGAACTCGACAGATTCTTACGAGTAATATAAACCTTGTCAATGAATAACCCAGATAAATCGATTAGTCATCTTAAGCTAAGGACATAACAAGATTGTTAACTAGCCCGTGACCCTGGAATATCCTCTCCTACTGTGTGTTATTCGAAACTGCTATTCGTTTGGTTAATTGCTGTAGTTAGATTATTTCTTGATAATTTAGGTAGTGAAATAAATATATCTTTATTTTGTGACACATCTCTTGAATAAGTAAAGTAATTGGGTTTGAATCAGTCAATAGTTGATCACAAGTCTTCGAGGGAATGATACTCTACTCACTACTCTATTACTCGACGATCACGTGCACTTGCGTGGGTGTTTTTGGTCACAACAATACTCATCAAATAAAAAGATTTAATTCTTTTTCAATGGTTTTTAAAATTTAAGTTACTGTTGCGTCAGCGAGAAAAAGTTTTTTAAAATTAAAATTGATAAAATCTTGTCTAAGATCAAAATAATGTCCCAAGAGATGTTAAATGGATTAGCTATATTGTCGATTGGGAAAGACTTATTAGGAGAAATTGATTATAAAAAAAATATTAATAACTTTGCATCTAAAAGAAAGCTAGAAAAATAGATTTCAAATAAAAATTTTTTTTAAAAAGTTAAGGCCCCTCATAAAGTACTAAAAAAAACTATTAAAAAAGAAAAGTTAAAGCCCCTCATAAAGTTTGGCTTTAGGCCACAAAGTTCGTCGGGCCGCCCCTGCTCCTCATGCCTACCACGGCCAACCTCTCGCACCTCCTCGGCATATGAGCACCTCCTCTTCATATGCCCGAACTATCTCAGCCTCGCTTCTTGCATCTTGCTCGCCACCAAGTTCATTCTCACCTTGTCCCAAATATCTTTATTCCTAATATTATCTCTCCTAATATGTCCATACATTCATCTCAGCGTCCTTATTTCCACTACTTTCAACTTCTGAGTATGAAAGTTCTTGACTGACCAATATTCCGCCTCATAGAACATGATCGATCTAACAGCTCAATAGAACTTACATTATGAGAACATTATCTATCAGATAAGTAAAGACATTATCTATGAGAAATTTCTCGGATTCTAAACTCAGATTTGAACTTTTAATTAAAGTGCGAATTGTCTATTGCACCACATCTCCCGGAAGCTTTGAAATTTCGCATTAATTAAATCTAACGTGGTTGGTATAGAAAACATATCAATTTCTTTTTTCAAAAACAAACAAATTAAAACGATTTCCAAAAATAGACTACTACCTTCTTTCTAATCGCATAAATTTGTTTGACTAAACAAAATAAAATTCAGAAAAATTACACGATATTTTCTCACAAAAGTTAAAAAAGTATAAATTCAATTACCTTTGTATCAAACAATGTATTTTTTGCGTGGAATGAGCCATACAAGAAGCCATATTTTATTTATTAAAAAAAAAGTCATTTCATGCTAAAATTGAAATTAAATCCGAGATAATTTGTAAATATGAAAAATGCTAGTCTGTTGGACAAAAAAATAAATGAGTGCAGGCAAGTTGAGAAGAAGGGCGTACTAGCTATTTTAGTTTTTCAAATCTATTTAATCTAACCACATGGTTTTTGAAAAATTAGTCAACAAAGTTCAAAACCTAATGACAATACTTAATTAGTGGAGTACTAGTTTCTTGATATATTTTCAAATTTGATCCTTTGGAGGCAAAGCTAAATAAATAGCCATATATTACTTTTACTTTCCATGCAGATGGTGTTATTGCTTTTCCGGAAAAAAGAAATCCATTAGTTGCACTTGCTCACATAGTTGGCGCTTTTCCCTATGGTCTTTAATTTTTTAATTTTAGGTTAATGATTAGTGCTGATGTATAATTTGACTACTGCTTTTGAGATTGAATCTAATGAGCCCACTTGTGTGTTTTTCCCTCTTTGTCAGCTATTGATGCTTTCTTCATGTCCAATATATTTTTTTGAAAAAAACTTTGTAAGTCGCTTGTCCTTAATTGTCCTTGAGATTTATAGCCTGTTTGGCCAAGCTGCAAAAATCAGCTTATTTTGAGAAGTATTTTTTTTCAAAAGTATTTTTCTCAAAAGTACTTTTGGTGAGAAGCAGTTTGTGTTTGGTTAATTACTTTGAAAAGCATTTCTGAGCAGCAATTAGTGTTTGACCAAGCTTTAAAAAACTGCTTCTAAGTGTATTTTTCTCAAAAGTGCTTCTCAAAAAAGTGCTTTTGGAGAGAAGCTACTTTTTTCTGCTTCTCCAAAACTGCTTTTGCTTCTCCTCAAAAGCACATTTTTTCCTTCTAAAAGCTTGGCCAAACACCTCAATTTTTGGCCAAAAGTGCTTTTGGCAAAAAAAAAAAAAATACTTTTGGCCAAAAAGAAGCTTGGCCAAACAGGCTATTAATCTTAAGTCACTTGTCATTTGAGGTTTATGACTTATAATTGTAACTCCTTCGAGAAGTTAAGCAAAAGATGTTCAAAATTAGCAAAAGATATTACTTTGGGGTTGGTAAAGCAAATGTGGAGAAATTCAAAAATAGCCAGATTTACAAGTGGTCATTCAAAAATAGCCACAGTTCCATAAGTAATCGAAATTTAGCTACTTTCCATGTAAAGATAAATCTGAACGAAAACTGTTCAAAATCCGGAAAAATACTCCAGTATAATATACTGGAATATACTGGAGTTTCAGCATAAGTATACTGGAACTCCAGTATAATATACCGGTGTAGGTGCTCCAATCTCCAATATATTATACTAGAACTTTTCGCGTGTTGGAGTTCCAACATAATATGCTTGAAGTTCATACACAGGTGCACCGATCTCCAGTATATTATGCTGGACCTTTTCGTGTTGCAGCAAAATAGTGGCTATTTTTAATGATTATACAAATGGTGGCTACTTTCCAATTACTAGTCCGAAAACTGACTAGCCCGTGCTATTTTACGTGTAAATCATACGCGTTTTTTTATAGGAAAATACCCAAAATACTAAAAATCGCATACTACAGTATGTTCAAAAGAAATGAACTTTTGCAAATAAATTTTAAATACTTAAATTAATATTATTGTATCTTATAGTATTTTTTATATAATTTCTAAATATAAAATTTTAATTCTGAAAAACTTAAAAAATATATCTAAATTTATATAAATAAAAAAAATAGTCAATTTGAGAAAGGGAGTATATAACACGGGTGCTCTTCTAGTCTAGAAAGAGAGAAAACTTTAGCTGATTGAAAAAGGACCACTCTACAGTCTGTTCTGACTACGAGGCCACGTGTTACAGACAATCCAATTCAGCTTTCCCAACCCCATAAAACTGCTCTTAAAAAATTCTCCTACCTTTATTTTTACTTATCCACATTTACTTTGCGCATCCCTTAAAAAATAATAAATAAAGTATATAATTTATCATAATATCCATATTAATTGGTATATAGTTTTAATAGATTTGAAAAATAATTTGAAATGAGTAATTAATGCTAAGGACAAAACAGAAAAAATAAATTATTTTTCTCTTAATATTCAAAAATAAACAAGTAAAAGTAAAAATTTATTTATAAAATAATGAACAAATAAAAATGAATAGAGATAGTAAATCCCACCAAACTCAAAAAAGAAAGGAATTAAAAAAAATCATGTTTTTCCACGCCGAGGCATCTTTTGTCAGGTCCTAATTTTTATGTAACTTTTATAGCCTTATAGGGTATTTTTTTAAAGAATACACAACCTCAAATTAATTTAATTGTTATAATACATTATACTATATTTTTCATGTTATTCTTTTTTCAGTTCTGTGAATTCCGCATCTTTTAATTACTCTTTCAGTTAATCCATAAGATATAGTGCTCTATAAAAGTTCAAAATTACATGCAAATTTCACATGAAAGTACGAGCCAGCTTTCTTTTACTCATTTGTGTGATAGCAAGGGTGTTTATCCTCAAAATCGGATAACAATTTAATTTGTAAGTGATTTTAACGATATGTGAATTAAATTGATATAAAGCGATAAATTAAACTGCAATTAATAAAAATATGATAAAATAAATTCAAACCACACGAGTTGAACAGTTATAGCCTTGGGAAGTAAGCCATCCTTGAATTGAATGAACTTCGATTGGTATCAGGACACACTTAAAATAAGGGCTTAAAGAGAAGAATAATATATTGCTTTGGAATGCGTGTTACAATGTGTTTTACAAGATTAGACCCCCTTTATATAGTAGGGGAGTCCTACTTTAGGTATAATTCTATAAAAGGTAAAAATCTCCTGATTTGCTGATTTTCTAGTTCCATATTGATATGTGCCGAGATTCCCGCCTTAATATCCGATCAGTCACGGATATTTCGGCCTTCTGTTATTTCGGTCTTATATCGGTTATACTATCAACGTTTCCTCGAGATCGTTTGGGATCAGGGTCGATTCCGGGATCACGAACTTAATGTTCTCGAGGATGGACATTCGAATCTCAGGTTCTGGCCTGGTGGGACCGGGGTCGATCTTCAGTCCCTCGTGCTCCGAGCCCGATCTGTCATGTAGTAGACGAGCCCGATTTCGACCGTATACAGATAGTCCCCTCGTTTTTTGGAGAGTAAACGACGAGAAACGATATGAGCTTCCAATTCTCACCTCGATACTTAGTGTCAGAAACGACAAAATGAACGAAACGTCTCGCCAGTCACGTCTCAATAGCATTAAATGCTTCTCAATTGCTGGTCGTCCACTCCTGGATTTGAACTGCCGTTTGAAAAATTATAAATACCCCCTTCTTCATTCATTGAAACTTTACATCCAAGCCTTCTCTGCTTTTGTTCCTTAGAACTCTCTACATTTTCTAGCACTTGTATCCTGATTTCTTGAGTTCTTTGCAAGAACTTCCGCTTGTCTTGATTCTATACCATCAAGTGTATCCCTTTTAACTTCCCTTTTTTCATCTCTTCCCTTCTATTTTAAAAGAAATGGCGAAAACTTCAGAAACAGTTCCCCCAAAAGAAACTACTTCTACGTCGCGGTCGGCCGGCGAGGAACCAGTGGCAGAACCTCCTCTTAGCACGTTTATTCCTGGCAGGTGCTCGGTGACTGCCAATTTTAAGGTTGAGAAACCTTCACCCGTACCGGGCCGGTGTGAGAAGATCTCGAGGTACATCTGGTCGATTACATAAGAGATTCTCCCCACGGTTAAAAAAGATTGCAACTGGGTCGTAAAAGACGTGGTGGTTCCCGGGCCCGATGAAGATATCACTACCCACGTCGAGGGATACTTAAGTGTTTACACTTATCCCTTTATGCTGGGTCCGTTGGACCCAGTAATCTTCCACTTCTACAAAAGGTACGAGGTGTGCCTTGATCAGATCCACCCCTCGTTCTGGAGGATCGTCATTCTCCTCCGTCTTTTTGTGAGCAAGATCGACGGATGGTGGTTCACCGTCGACCACCCACTACTACAAATAAGACCTTTAACGACAATTATTTAGCGGCAATAAGGCAATTGTTGCTAATAAATTCTTTAAGCTGAAAAATTAGCGGCACATGAGCATTAGCCAGTAAAAGATATCCTTTTACCGGCAATAAAAATACAATTGCCACTAAAAATTACCAATTTAATTTAATTTTTATTATTTTAACGTTTCCCTCCCCCACAAAAAGAAAAACATCGTTCCCTCCAAATTTTTTGGACGAAAATTATCGTTCCCTCCTCCGATTAGAAACTTGTAGGAACTAGGAAAACATATTTTCCTTTAATAGAAACTGATACGGTCAATTGAATAGGAAAACCTAAATTGCTGCTGCGTCAATTTCCAGTACCTCATTGTGATTTTTTTCCAGGAAAGTTCTCTTCTTCCCCTGTTAAATTGGTTGCTTGCAATCGTTTTGCAATACATTGTTGATTGATGTTGCTCGATTTTTATATGGATTGAACGATAGGAAAACCTAGATTGCTGCTGCGTCAATTTCCCAGTACCTCGTCGTCGATTCTTTTCCAGGTAATTTCTCTTCTTCCCCTGTTAAATTGGTTGCTTGCAATCGTTTTGCAATACATTGTTGATTGATGCTGCTCGATTTTTATATGGATTGAACGAAAGGAAAACCTAGATTGCTGCTGCGTCAATTTCCAGTACCTCGTCGTCGATTCTTTTCCAGGTAATTTCTCTTCTTCCCCTGTTAAATTGGTTGCTTGCAATCGTTTTACAATACATTGTTGATTGATGATGCTCGATTTTTATATGGATTGAACGATTTACAGTTGATTGATGCTGCTTGATAATGTATTTGGACTGATTTACAATGGATTGATGGTTTATGCTGCTCGATTGATTATATGGATTGTTTTACAGTGGATCCTTTGCTCGATTGTTTATATAGATTTATATACAATTTATTTACAATAGTTGTTTTTGGCTAAATTCTGTCATTTAATTCATCCAGTGTTTTAGGCTTACCTAGTCTTAATGACTAGGTGCCATCACAAGATCCTACGGAGGGAATTAGGGTCGTGATAGTAATGTTGTAAATACTCTTTATAAGCTCTAACTATAGTTGTTAATCTGCGCTCTACTAATGCTCCTTAGAAGTTTAGTTGAAACTATTAGTCCATATATTTGTTAACACTTTTAGAAGTCCCAGTTAGGACTGTTAACCTGTGTGTGTGCTAGGGGGCAAGACCTAAGTTAAAATTAATATTTTATTAGTCTAATTGAAGACCGTTAAGGTAGATGTATCAATGTTCATAAACCAGTGCAGACTTGAACTATATACTCTTTCTATCCTTAATATACTTGATCTCAGGTGTTTGGTTCTTTAACAGCAGTATGATAATGTCTCTGCCTCTATGTATGCTTAAAGCTGATCTCTTTTAAACCTGCTTAATATGTTACTCATAGTGAATCATGCACTTAGTTTTGAAATATGGTTATAAACAATACAAATAGGATATCTTGTAGTATTCTGTATATGCGTTGCCTTTTCCAACAAACTCTCGTTTAACCACTTTGATAGTGTTTGAAGACAGTGATTCATCCCAATTCTGAAATGACAACCTTAAATATAGCAATAAGCAGAGTGTTTAATGAAAGAAAACAAACATCTGTGACAGAGTATTATAAGTGTAAAGCACAAGACGTTAATGACCTTTTCTAAGGCTGCTTCTCATCTAAATTTGGAGCTTCAGTAATCCCTCTGGACAGGAACAAATCCATAATGACTAGAACTGCAACGATAATAGAGGTAATATGATCATATCCAGGAGCAATATCAGTTGTCAATGGTCCAAGAGTGTAAAATGGTGCTTCATTGCACCACTCCAGCTGCTTTTTCATGTTCTCGGGAATCTTATGCATTGGCACGTGTCCAGGCCCTTCATTCATAACCGGAAATCGAACACAATTTTTGTAACTAAATTGTAGTAATTAGCAAGGTAACTCTGATATTCAGGAAAAGAAATAGTCACATAACTAGAGAATATTTCTTCTAATTATGAACCAAAACACCCTTAGTGTTTGTTTTACAATTTTGTCCATTATTTCAGTTTCAACTTAAAATAGGGAACTTGAGTTGAAAAACTGGTTTAAGGAGTATCTCAAATGAAATAATGGTTTTCACTCACAAGACTTCAATGTTTATCCAAGTGAAATTCGTGTCCAAACAGAAAGAATATTGTTCTGAAGAAACTTCTTTTCCAGCAACAAAAGAAGAGATGTTTTTGTTAAGTATACCACAGTTATAAAAAAATAAAAAATAAATACCTATTGTGGATGACTTAAATCGTCTGAGCTATCAAGTAAGGGAGTGTAGCTCTTCTTACTTAATGATGATTTGATTTTGTTTGGAAGTTTGTTGTTCCAATTGGAAAAGGGGGCCTTTGCTTAGGTTCTCACTGGAGTCTTTTATATGTTGTGTTGAAATTTTAGATGAGTATGATTGTGAGCTTCTATGAGGTGTTGCTTAGCTCTTCTTCGCGATCAAACCTTATTGCTCCAACTATGTGGTAGCTTTCACTTCATCCCTTAGCTTAGAGGTGAAACTAGGATATAGCGATAGTAGATTTAAAGTTTGTGTGATATATTCTACATACATAGAAGCATATTTATAAATGGTTGAACAGAAAGCAATGAGTTCAGTTGAACTCGTATAACCTGCCCTAGATCTGCATCGATCTTTCCTTGACTAACCTGTTTGAAAGGTTTAGTAGCTCCCCTGAGCTAAATGGTTCTTTAAGATCTTCTATTGTATCTGAACTGAGTTCTAATCGGTACATAGTCAGCAGAATATCTGTTTTACCTTTGTTTTTCCATTTGGTCATTTCTAAATTCTCGTTTAACAGTATGTTTTCTAGGCGATAGCAGATATTCATTCTTATTAGTTCTTGGAATAGATTATTGGACATGGCCAAAGATGAAGTCTCAAATATCATATACGCCGTGTCTTTTTACATAGGTAAACTTACTAGTGCAAGAAAATGCACACAATCTTCAATTCTTATTCAAGGATCTCTCATTCACTTCAAGTTCTGTGCCAAAGTAGTTTAGATATGCAGGATAATCTATGAGGTAGAAGGATGTCCAACTTTCAGGTAATTAGTTCTGTGACTCCAATATTAGGTTCTGTGGTAAACGTAATTTGCATGCGATGGCACTTCATGGACAATCCATGTAAGTTCGGCCTAGCAACCTGCTCAGAAGCATTCATGACTTATATATGTTTCAGGCCAATGAGAAAGAGTATAGAATAAGGATTGATTTCATTGCATCAATTGTCGTGTATGTGTAAAAAGTTGCAGCAAAAGAGTGTGCTTGTGTGGAGCATGCACCACGAAAAATCAGGCTTGAAGCTCTCACCTTATTGTCAAACCGGGAGCTGACAGCTCAGGAGATTCAATCTCATTGAGTTCAATTCCTGTTCTCCAACCATGACCAAGACAACCTCAAACTTCCATTGTAACATCGAATATAATTAAACCGGTTGAGTGTCTAGTGACGGCTCAAACCCATTTTTCACGAGCTTCTCAGATTTAATTTTAAACATCGTAAACTAGTTGCCACAAGAAAGCATGACAAGATCCTCCTCCATGTTGGATATCTGTTTTGGTGGGAGGTCTGCATAGGTTGACATTAAGGTGTCATAGTAGATTTTTAGGAACCAGGAAGTAGATACAGGCAGGAGCATTGTCTGGACAATTGTTTCAAATGTTGCTTTTCACAATATTTGCCTTACGTTCTCCATTGGCAATTCTATAGGCCCTCTGAAGTAGCTGAAGTTTTTGCAGGACTCTCAATGTCCCTGTGAGCACGTGATTTTTGCCCTATATGAATAATTCCTAAATTTTTGATCTTTTCTCTATTTTTACAATTTTTTGTGAATTTTGTGTCATTTTTGGTAATTGTTGCATTTTTATTTGTGTTTTTTTTTTGTTCATATGGAAAATATAAAAATACATTTGGCATTTGCATTTAGGATTTAATTTCACATTTAGGATTAATTAGGGGTTAAGTTGTATGAAATAACAAAATAGTCTATTTTGCATTTTTAATTGTTAATTGTTGAATTTGTCTGGAGTTTACTTTAAATAGGACTGAATCAATTAGCTCAACTTTGAAGATATACTAGGTCTTTAATTTTTCATTTTACAAAATCAGGAAAAATATAAAAAAATATAAATACAAAATGAAAAAAGAAAGGAAAAGGGAAATATTTGGGGCTGCTTTAATTGGGTTAATTTTAATTAGTTGGGTCCAGTCCAAACATACCCCAGACCAGCCCAATCCACGCCCCAGCCCAGTCCGGTCCAGAGACGCCAAAAACGGCGTCGTTTTATAGTGAATCAATCTCAGCCTTTCGTCCATACCAATCTAACGGTCCAGAGTTGTCCAGGGAATTTACATAAAAATGTAATAATCCCTGTACAAAATCAGAGACCAAAATCTCTCTTCCTCGTACCAACTCCCCCCCCTGTAACGCCGGTGCCGGCCACCCTAGCCCCACCATCTACCACCGTCCCTCCGCCGTCCGCCGCCAGCCGGAAATCGTCGCCGCCGGCGGCGATGCTCTGATCAACCCCAAAATTACACCACCGGTTCTCCTCGTTCCCCTCTTTCCAACCCTGCCTTTAGTTTCCCTCGAATCAACGCCGGGCCCTTCGAATATTAACTCAAAGTTTTCCGGCCACGACGAAACCCCACCCAAACCACCCCAAATTTACACCACCTAACCGCCTTCACCTCCTCTTTCAAACCCCCCAAGCCCCGTCCCTCGAATCTGTCCAGAATGTCACGAATCTAAAATTTCGATCCCGGCAGAGCCCTAATTCAAAATCTTCGTGATTTTGGACCGCACCATCCTTAACCAGGTGTATTCTTGCGAAAACACATGATTAGGGATGTTGCGTGTCAAAAATCTTGAAAGATTCGAACGTCGTTGGTTGGCCAGAATTCCTAAAGCCAGTAAGTTTCTCTTCTCTGAATTTTTGGTTCCTGTTAATTGTTAGTCAATTTTTATTTGTTTTCTGTGATTAGTTTGAGTGTTAGTTTGGTTAATTCTTAGTTTGTACTTCATTTTACCTTTGCCAGTTTATATATCCAAATGTTCGTTTAGGCCAACCAATTGATAGTTCTGATTTTCTTACTCGTTTTGATTCAAGTTGATATGCTTGCTTTTCTGATAATAAAATTGATTCTGACTCAGTAGGTTAATAGGTTGATTTGTTGTTTTGGATCCGTATTTGTTCAATAGTTGTTGATGCATGTCTAAATTGGAGTTTTGGTCTGACTAAATGAGCCTGGTTGTTAGTCTAATTGGTTTAATTTCAGTTTGAGCTTCAAGTTCTATTAATTAATCTGAATTAGTTTAGGCTAGATTAGTGGTTTGGTTATAGCTGGCGGGTTTAGCAATGGCCAGTAATTTCAGGAGGTTTTAAGGGTAGTTTGGGCATGGAAAAAGGGTAGTTTTATTAGATTTGGTAATTTTTGAAGAGGGGTAAGGATAGGATAGGGATTGTAATGGGCATAGAACCTTCTAGGATGGACTATAGTATAGATTTCAAGAGAATAGGTGTAGTTACTTGTGTAACAAGTCAGAAAATAAAGGGTAAACACTGAAAATAAACGAAGGACTAGAAGTGTAAAGGAAAAATCTGATAGAGCCTTAGTTTTGTCTATAAAAGGCATGCCCATTGCCTTGTTGAGGAAGTTTTTGGGCAGCCATCTAAACCCCCTCCCAAAAGGCATTAAAAAAGTTTCTGGAAGCCTAAAATTCCTTCAGAATAATACTAATATCAGCATTAGGGTCAGAAACAAGCTGGTTTACGAGTGTACTGTTCTACATTTGAAAGTTGCTGCAAAGAGAGTCGTTAGGGTTTATTTGAGTTGCTGTAAATTGAGTCTGAGTAGTCAAGTTGGTTTTGGATTGCATTGGTGCTCGAAATTGTTGCTGTGTTTTGGTTCATCACTGGAATTTCAAACCCATTCCTGAACTTGCTGTGTTGACTGAGCTGTTACTGGGTTTTAACTTATTCCTGGGCTGCTGTTGAGAACTGTCACTGCTGCTGATCTTTTCCTTTTTCTTATTTGCAATTACCAGGTACACGTTTGAATCTGCCCTGCTGTAACTTTAAGCTTGAAATGGAATACAATTACTCACCTGTTTGATCCTGAAATATGCTGCATGGACTGTGATGTGTTGGTAGTCAAATGGGCATTCGATTTAATCACATAGCATAGTGTAAATCGATTTATATGAGTGTAAACCCTGGACTGTTAACTGGACTGTATAACTGGACTGTTCGTATGGACTGTGCAATGAGCTTTAATTCTGATTATAGCAATTCGCATGTTAGAGTCTAATGTCTACTTTCTGCGGTTAATGACATGATTGGACTGTTTCGATTTTTATTTCATGTCAATAGGACTGCCTATTGCAGTTGTTTGTATGAACAAGTGTAGTAGAGTAATGTAACATACTAGCCTGATAAGTTGAAGTCGGAATAGAATAAGGACTTGAACATCTTAAGTTCGATACCTCCATATTATTAGTAATCACCTTAGTCTAGTTATCCCGTATCTATTTCTGAAATTATTTGCAGCAAGTAGTGGATATAATTGAACAACTTGAAATAGGTTCAGTAGTATTTTTCCGTGTGAATTTGCTTAAGTTCCAGTTCTGTTTGGGGTCTGTTAACGGATCGAGGCTTAACAGCCTATTTTCAATAACGTGGGCACTAGTCTCTACTGATATGCGACCCCGTCCAGTAGCCCCTCACTTGGGCCGGCGTCAGCCCTGGGTTTAATTGGCCTCTCAGGATCTGGGTTGATCAATGTGTCTTTGAAGCCCAATGTGACGAAAACCCAATCCACCATAGGTTCTGGTACGGGTTTTGGACCGTCCAGGCAAGTATTAATGAAATTAAATTGCGTTACAGGTATAGTCACTAATAGAAGAATTATAGTCCTTTTAGGATATCCTTTAAAATACTCGAGGTGCACTGCGCCAAATAGAACCACAAATTGCGTGGCCCCCTTAATCGTATTTAAAATATTTAGATCTCGGGAAGAGCCATTTAGCGAATTTCATGGCCTCTCACAAAGTTAATAATACGCTAGTTGCTTTAGGCGTGTATTTTAATAATATTACTTTCCTAAATTCGGGTGCACATTTATGTGACCCAAATCCAAATCTCAACGAAGTCGAGATGTGTTAATAATCACGGGTGCACTGGTGCGACGTGGTTTGAGGCGCATTTTCACGACGTTGCAATTCTTATTAAAAATAGAAATAAAAGCGGTTTACTAGTAAAAGCGCATAAGCCAGAACATGTTTTTAAAATCAAATAAAAGCAAATACAACAGTTGAGCGACCGTGCTAGAACCACGGAACCCGGGAATGCCTAATACCTTCTCCCGGGTTAACAGAATTCCTTACTCGGAGTTCTGGTTCGCGGACTGTTAACAGAGTCATAATTTCCTCGGATCGGGATTCAACGGGTGACTTGGGACACCATTAATCTCCCAAGTGGCGACTCTGAATGTTAATAATAAATCCCGTTCCGACTGTCCTTTAATTGGAAAAACTCCTTTACACCCTCACAGGTGTGGCGTAAAAAGGGAGGTGTGACAGCTCTGGCGACTCTGCTGGGGACCGAACCCAGAATCTCTGGTTCAGGGTTCCGAATTCGAGCTTAGATATATTGTTGTATTTGGCTTTATCTGATTTTCCTACATGTTTCATGCTAAATGTGCAAAATGTTGCCTTTTTACCGGTTTGATATTATCTGAATTGTATATATAAACTGTGCCGAAACCCTTCTCTTCTTACCTCCGGGGATGTGCTTACTGGTTGAGACTCCCTATTCTGTTAGTATCAATACCCTGAAATAAGAAAGAGGCCGGACAAGTTACTAAGCCGGATGGCCTTTTGGTTCCCGGTACGTAGTCCTCTCCTCCACTCGAGTTGTCCGCTCGGGTACACAGTCTAGAACACATACCCAGGTTTTGAACCTAGAAGAACTTGACTTCATGCCGGATCCCTAGTAGGAGCGCTTATCTGCATCACGTGCATTTTGACTTAGGGGACTCAACACAGGGGTTGGGTCCGTCTAGGACAGGTGTACCCGGAATAATGGACCATCCTGATGCATCCTACTTGTGCATTTATCTGTTTTGGACTCACATGCTGACCGACTTTGAATGTTTGAAAAAAAAAAACAAAAGAGAGAGAAAAGAGAAAATAGCAGTGTGGAGAGTTAATTACCTATACTAAGAAAAAACCAATGGCCAGGTTGTGCCGAAATGCTGCCGGATTTTTTTTTTTAAAACTGAAAGAAAAGAAAAAAGGTACACCTGAAGAGTGCACTCAAAATATAAAAAGAGTCTTGAAGTTGCCAACAAAAACCAAAAAAAAAAAACAAAAAATAAGTTTTATTTTCAAATTAGGAGTGTTTTTCAGAAATAGTTAGAGTTTTTGTCCGAACTACGCAGGTTTGATTCTCACCGGATGTGAGATACGTAGGCAACCCTCATCGGGTCCAACCACAAAAATACCAAAATTTTAATTTTGTCACAAAATAAGTCGGGTGATGCCATTCTTGTTTGAAATAAGTCGAATGTCCCCAAAAGGGCGCCGAAGGGCTGTTTTTGCAAGAACAGCCACCCTGAGTCAGTTTCAATGGTTAGCAGGCACAGCCTTAAAATCTTCTCCCCGAAGTATTGAAAGGCCGTAACTGCAAAACTGGCCGTTTGTTTTAAATTGGAAATTTGAACAAAAATAGTGTTATTTGCTTTTCTTTTTTAGGTCAAATAAGTTATTAAATCACCTTAATAAATGTGCAGGATGAGCACGACTCAAAATGAACCCTTTTCAATCATGCATAAAATCCCTTTGGAGTTGCGTCTGTGGTGGAACGATTTGGGCAAAGAAGGACAAGATGCGGTCAAGAAACATTTGAAAGGGCTTACCGGTTTGCTCGATATTGTGCCTCGGGGAGATATTATAAGGGCGCTAGTTACCTGTTGGGACCCAGCACATAATGTGTTCCATTTTTCGGATTTTGAGCTTACCCCGACGTTGGAGGAAATAGCTGGCTACATTGGAAAGGATGAGGTTCCGTTGAGGCACAAATACTTGGTTGCTCCCAGAGTTGTAGCTGTACACAAGTTTCTAGACTCCTTGAAAATAGTCAGGACCGTCCATAACACAGACCTGGCAAATGGCTTTTGTACTCTAAGCTACATATATCATCGCTATGGTCATATCGGGGGGTTCAACAACCCAGAAAGTAAGATATGTAGCAAAGGAAACCGCCAGAAGTGGGAGGAGCATCGATGTTTCGCTTTTATGGTGGCTTTCTTGGGGCTTTTAATATTTCCAAGGAAGGATGGGAACATTGACATAAAAATAGCTAGGGTTGTCAGCACGTTAATCACTCAAGCCAAAAGTACACTTGCACCTATGATATTGGCCGACATCTTCCGTGCTCTTACAGCTTGTAAAGCCGGGGAAACCTTCTTCGAGGGGTGCAACTTATTATTACAAATGTGGATGATTGAGCATCTGTATCATCGCCCTCAGTTTTTGAGCTATGGGTCTCCAGAAAAAACATGCATAGAAGAATTTTACATGAGGACTAAAGGAGCCAAATTGCCGGAAGGAGTCACGGGATGGACAACATATTTCCAGTCCCTCACGGCTAGCCAAATAGAGTGGACACTGGGATGGTTACCCGTTGATG